GTCTGAAACTTCAATATTTACCTTACAAATTGGTACCAAGTGTCACTTTTCATTACTCCAGATGGAGTGAGTAATTGGGTTATCTCATGACTCAGCTCAAAGCGCGCACTTTCAAATCGCACAAAAGAATTGTCAGTTCAAATATCATTCCTGTTAACTAAAAGCACAAGACAATCTAAAAAAATAAATTGATTATGCAATAAATGCCCACTATTAAATCTTCATTAGTCTTTCTTCTCTTATTGGTAGCATTGTAAAAAAAAAAAAGTACGAAAGCACCTCCGTGCATGGTGTCTCCATCCTGCCTCCATCTAGTGGACGGAGGCATTGAGTGGATGGTTGCCTCCATCCACAGAAATTCCTTCGTCCACTTGGATGGAGGCATTACTTGCCTCCATCCATTTGGATGGAGAAGTGGATGGACCTTGCCTCCATCCACTTGGATGGAGGTATTTGGATGAAGGCAAATGATTTTTTTTTTACAATGCTACTAATAACATTTTTTCCTTTTATTTTCCTTCTTGTCTTCTATTTACCAAGGATTACAGGAAACAAGTATTATATATTAACAAGTATAGCCACCATTTTAGTCTAACGATTCTTCAAATGATTATAGAAATTTCAGCTTCTACATCAGAGATTTGAACTTCAAACAACACTTTACCGACTCCATCCGATGGCTACTCAAAAAATTAAAAATAAATAAATAAGTTACCATCTTTAGCAAAGATAATTTAAAGATGTCCCTAAATCAAATCTGAGCAAGGTTTCAATCTATTCAGCTCCCCTTCCGTTGTCTAATAAATTTCTCAATTTAATAGCATCTGTAGGAAGAATATCAACCAGCTACCAAACAGGGGTTAAATATTGAAGCTAAACATCTACATTAAAGTAAGATCCAAAGTTAAGAAAATCAATTAAATGTTTAAAGATAACAAATCAAATACAAACCTCTCCCCTCCCCCCAAGCCATAAAATCCAAATTATGATCGCGATAAATGTGATGCTTGCTTCATTTTCTATTTGGATGACTCTTTGAAGTTTAGCGAGAATTATTTAATAGTAGCATCTAGAACTATAGAGATTTAATAGTGCTATATAATTCGTGAGTTAAACATAAAATGTAATGTCATCGAATTTATGTTCAAGAAACCATTAAATCATCATTTCTCTTTCCACCTATATTATCTATGCTAACCATCTTTATCTTGCCTCTATACGCCCGTGGAAAAAATGAGAAAAGAAAGATCAGGTTCTAAGTCATTGGTCCAATACTACAAGATACTAACAAACAATAAATGTCCACCATTAAATCTTCATTGTTTGGTAGCATTGCGTAAAAAAAAAAAAAAAAAATCGCACGGAGGCACATGAAGGCACCTCTGTGCGCGCAGGGAGATGCCCCCGTGTGCCTCCCTGAGATATATATATATATATATACACACAGAAATGATCTAATGAGCACCTGTGCTCATCTTATCCTAAGCACCAATGAGTTGGCACATTAATTCATTGATGGATAAAGATTTTGTAAGTTCCAATCCACCAATGAATTAATGTGCTAACTCATTGGTGCTTAGGATAAGATGAGCACCGGTGCTCATTAGATCATTTCTGTATATATATATGCACCTATTTATATTTGCATATTTATAGATAGTGTTGGGTTCATTGGTGATTTGACTCGATTAAATCGTAATATGAAAAAAAAAAATCTAAGGAAATAATAGCTTCCTGTCTTATGATATATCAAAGATATTGGGATTGGGATTTTAAAAGAAAAATAAGTAAAAAATGCCAGCAAAAATAAAAAGAAAAAATTCAAACCAGATAAATACTATTCATTAACTTCTTGGTTTGAATTAGAAGTAGCCGTTTAGCCCGTTTCATATCACAACAGTACTCCTATTTCTGACGTTTAGAGGAACAAGAAAAACTCACACACAGTCTCTCTCTCTCTCTCTCTGTGCAATGGCTTACGAGCAAGAACAATCAGAAATGAAATCGGAAATTCCAGTTTTTACAGTGCTAAAGAACAATTCTATTCTCAAGAATATCTATCTCCTGGACAACCCACCTTCATTACCTTCTTCTTCAGTGGAATTCAACTCCAAGTATGGAAAAGAATCAATGAAGGAAGAAACATTGTTGGTTGGACGCCATCCCGATTGCAATATCGCATTGGAACATCCCAGTATTAGCAGATTCCACCTCCGTGTCCATTCCAACCCTTCCTCGCACTTCCTCTCTGTCATTGACTTGAATTCTGGTACAATTTCTCCTCTTTTCACTTTCTTGTTATGTGTTTACACAAGTTTTGAAATCTTGATTTGGGGATTTCCTTTTTGCCTTGGAAGTTGGATCGTGTGCTTTTGATTCCTCCTCCCTTGTGCGNATCAAATACTTTATTATTATTTGCCATATAGCTTCAACATCTCAATCCGGTAGTTTGTTCCACAACACGATTAAACAAGTGACACACATAATTGTCGTGTCTTCATCTATGGCATTCCTACAACACATATTGAAAATAAGATGATGGTAACTGCTATTGGAACACAGTTTTCCAAATTGTTTTTATTTACATAAAACAAGATGTTGGTCACTGCTGTTAGCTTTATTTACGGAAAACCAAATAGCTTTTCAACAATACTATTACACCATATTGAAACACCCAACATTACAAAAAAAACCCAATGACTTTTCAATTATAACTAGAAGACTCGCTATACTACGACTCAATCATTGAGAACTACTAACATTTATAAAAAATAAGCGACGCAGAACGTTCAAGTTATTCTACAAACTCAAGTTCTTCAAAGATCTAGAAAATCGCATTAAGCAGGCCATCCTCTCAACTTGTATCAAGTATTTAGTTTCTGATGTGGACACAAAAAAATTGCTTCAATAATGGAAACTGAAGGTTCTTCAAAATGCCCTTAATTTCTTGTGAACTTCGTGTGGCTTATTTCAGAACTGCACTTTCATTCTTGCTTCCTCAAAGTACTGTGCAAAAGAAAAAAAAAACATTAATCATAAATAGGACTGCGAGAATCATTGTCAAAACTGAGAACCAAATTCTCATATGTTGATAGCATTTACAATATTCAGGTACTCTCACCTGCTGTTTTTCTTTTCCTATATATCTAGATCAGCGTGTTCAAAGTATAAAGGCAAATAGTAAATTATGGATCCAATAGTAACTCTATTTTGTCAAATGATACTAATCCAAAAACGATTACATATTATGTCCCACTTCCACACTACAGTTGTGGCTGCTGAATACATATAACCTTCCCATTGAACTTGGACTGTGTTCAACATCGATTATAATGTTAGCACAGTCCATTCTACTAAGGGAAAAATTCATAAGTAAGAGGATAAGTATCTCCTATTTCAAAATTAAGAAAACAAGTTTAGAATTTCAAAAATCAGATTTTTATTAAAATTTATTATGATTTAATTATTTATTTAATTAAATAATTAATTAATTATAATGATGTCATAATTATACAATT